GGACGAGAACCCTCACTCCGCGCAAAGGGGATGATCGCAGCAAATTGTGTTAAATTGGTCAAGCACCGTCGAGGCAGTTACACAACAGTGCTTATAAATGTCTCTGGCAGTGAAAGCACCAGAAAATAAATTAAGTAATTCGCAGCTGTCATCCGTACGCAAGGAAGTAAGCACAAGATGCCGAACACCCTTAGCAGGACGCAGCGCACCCTCCATTTGACTCGCCGAATACCTCACAGCGCTTAGGCGCTTGGTGATGTGAGAGCCTGGTCTGGTGAGAACCCGGCGTGCTCCGTCCCGGCTTTGAAACGTGGTCAATGGTCTAAACACTAAGACATCCAAAACATGATTACCCCCCCCCCCTCCCCCCCCTCCCCTCCCCGGTGTTTGCCATCGGGGTTTGGGTTTTCGTCGCTTGGCAACGACGTTGTAAAACAAGCCGCCCCCCCCGGTGTTTGCCATCGGGGTTTGGGTTTTCGTCGCTTGGCAACGACGTTGTAAAACAAGCCCCCCACTCGGTGTTTGCCATCGGGATTGGGTTTTCGTCGCTTGGCAACGACGTTGTAAAACAAGCCAATTCACTTCGTGAACTCGGCAACCAGGTTACCGTTTGTTTTTTTTACCTCGTTTTTTTTTGTGCGGTAACCTTAATGGTGGTCGAGTAGATCATGTTGTGCGGGGTCGAGAAACCTCACTCCGCGCAACGGGGGATGATCGCACCACGTGGTGTTAAAATGGTCAAGCTTCCTCGAGGCAGTTACACAGTGCTTACAACTGTCTCTGGAAGTGAAAGCACCAGAAAATAAATTAAGTCATAGCTGTCATCCGTACGCAAGGAAGTAAGCACAAGATGCCGAACACCCTTAGCAGGATGCAGCTCACCCTTCATGCGACTCGCCAAATACCTCACGGCGCTTCGCGCTTGGTGATGTGAGAGCCTGGTCCGGTGAGAACCCGGCGTGCTCCGTCCCGGCTTTGTAGGGATGCGAGGTCAATGGTCAAACGACTACGGCATGCACGACTATGAGTACCCCCCCCCCCCCAACCCCCCCCCTTTCCTC